CAAATTGCAATTATCCTAACTGCTCTCATGGCTCATAAGCAAAATTTGAGCTCAAGCCACTGCATCAGCTTTCTAGTCCCATGCAGTGCTGTCAAGTGAGACCAGGCTCTATTTTCCCTTTCTCTTCTTTTAATCCCCTCTTACATGGATAGACAGCTCTATACCTTTTATCACCTCCTCTTCCCCTTTCTTCTTCTTCCCAAGCCTTTCTGCTCCTTTATCACTTCTCATTTTGGCCTTCTGTGCTGTGCCTAGCACAGAGTCAGGTGTCCAATACAAGTTCAATATATATTAATGTTTGATTAATTGAACTGAATTTCAGGTTGTCTGCTGAAAGAGAGAAGGCATTTCCTCCCTCACCCCCACCCTCACCTATTTCAAGCATCCAGGCAAATTCATTTAAAGCAGACCTGTCATTCAAGGAGGCAAAACCCTGAGGGAAAAAGAGAGAAAAGAGATTAAAGAAGCTAAAACGTAATTATTTAGCCATTAACCCCTTTATATTTATTTAATGTGGTAAATCATGTTCTTCTCTAAAAGTGAAATCGTTACATTTGTAAGAGGGGAAAGAAATACTCCATATTATAGAAAAGGTTGGACTCTTCAAACCAGAAAGTCGTAAGTGGGTATGTCATAGGTGATAAGGAATACTGTTACATCAAATAAGAGCTGGAACCAAGGTAACTTTTGCTTAACTTTCTTATCAGCAAACCAAATCACAACAAAGTGAAATCCCTAGGAATTTGTCAAACTTTCTCATTTTAGTGCAAGGAAAAGATATCCGAGAGGCTATATTATTAGGGCTCAGAAATAACATGTATTAAAATTGACATAGCAGGAACATTGCCATCTTGGACAAGTACAACCATTCTAAAGTTCCCCTTGATCAACAATCGTGCCATTGCACTCCAGCCTGGGCGATAGGGCAAGACTCTGTCTTGAAAAAAAATCACCTAAGGCCGGGTGCTGTGGCGCACGCCTGTAATCGCAGAAATTTGGGAGGCTGGGGCGGTTGAATCGCCCTGAGGTCAGCAGTCCAAGACCAGCCTAGCCAACATGGTGAAACCCCATCTGTACTAAAAATACAAAAATTAGTTGGGCATGGTGGTGCATGCCTGTAATCCCACCTACTTGGGAGGCTGAGACAGGAAAATTGCTTGAACCCAAGAGGCAGAGGTTGCAGTGAGCCAAGATTATGCCACTACACTCCAGCCTGGGCGGCAGAGTGAGACCCTGTTTCAAAAAAAAAACACCTAAATCCAAAGAGCATCAGCCTAATGGCTAAGGTCAGCATGACCATAAAGTGACATCTCCAACTAGAAACATTCCGACCGTAAGATAAACCCCTCCCCAACCAGAGACATGCCAGCGCCAAGATAACCTCCCCTCTGACCAGAGACAGTCCAACCCCGTAATTAACTTCTTGCCCACACAGAAACATTCTAAGCTGATGATAAGCTCTCTCACCCTAAAACCAATAAATACTCTTAGTCTGTAAGAGAGAGCACTCCTGACAGAAATCAGCCAGAAGACCCTCTCAGGTTGATTCTCCAAAATAAACCTGTCTTTGACTGTTGAGCCACTTTTCATGTTTCTTTCTTCTTTCTTTGACACTTAGAAAACTTAGTTGGCAGTTAGGACTGGTTTGGTTCCATTAAACAGGTTCTTCAGTGCACCTAGGACTGTGCTACAGGCTATGAGGGACAGATTCATAGACCACACCCTCAAAGATTGTGTGACCTGATGGGAAGATAATATTCAGTGTGAGAATACACGACAATTAGGGCTTTGATAAGTCTTGGAAAACAGCCATCATCTTGGTACCCAAGGAAGGAGGAGACTGTGATAATTGTGTTGAATGCATAGGATATGAATAATCTAAGAGGAACTACGGACCACAGCATGAAAACAGGAAATGAGTAATAATTATACAAGACCCATGGGGAGGCAGACCTGGCTAGATAACAGTTTGGTGCTTAAGCCATTGACCATTGGGTGACTAGATAGACAGGTCAGGGAATATAACAAAGGGTCTAGACGGCTAGGATGAGGAGTTTGAGCTAGTTCCTGTAATAATAGGAAGCTAATGAAGGGGTTTTTTTCATGAGATGTTTCTGCAGGAGAACTCTAGGAGCTGTATATAGATGGATTTTATAGGATGTAGTGATGCAGTCACCTGACCAGTTCTTCCTGCTCACTGCACAGACAAAATCAATTCACTGAGACCACAACATTGCCTTAAAGAAAGGGTTTAGGCTGGGCATAGTGGCTTACACCTGTAATCCCAGCACTTTGGGCAGCCGAGTTGAGCGGATCGCCTGAGGTCAGGAGTTCAAGACCAGACTGGCTAACATGGTGAAACCCCATCTCTATTAAAAATACAAAAATTAGCTGGGTGTAGTGGTAGTTGTCTGTAACCCCAGCTGCTCAGGAGGCTGAGGCAGGAGAATCACCTGAATCCAGGAGGCGGAGGTTGCAGTGAGCCAAGATCACACCACTGCACTCCAGCTTAGGTGACAAAGCGAAACTCCGTCTCAATAAAAAAGAAAAAAAAAGAGTTTAATTGATGAGAGGTCAGCCATACCATGTAGGAGATGGAGTTATTACTCACCTCAATCTCCCTGAATTATATGTATAGATAGCTCTACGTCTTTTATCACCTCCTGTTCCCCTTTGGTTGGGGATGCAATCATAGGGGTGTGGAGAATGATCCTCTTGGGCTGAGTCTGCTCCTGGGTTGGGGCACAGTAGGTGTGAGGTGGAACAATTCAGTAGGTGTGGGGTGGGACTCAGAAATCCATATTTGTTACACTCATCCAAGCTGATTATGTTGCAGATGTGCCCCAACCATATTTTGAGAAACTTTTGCAGTATGCAATATAGCTTATGTAGCACAGAAACTTATGACCTCCCATCTGAATGTATGCAGCAGTCTTCTTCAGCTTCCAGGTCACTGAAACTGTGTTTGCAAAACGATGACATTAAGAGAAATCTGACTCACTGAAACTGCCTTTGCAAAATGCTGACATTAAGAGAAATCTGACATAGTTTATTCCATCTTGCCTTTAACTTCCAAGCTGTCCTTGGTCATCCCTGGGCATGGGCCATACTAACTTTGGGAGAAAGTTAGTTTATAGTTTAAATGATAACAGCCTTTCCCAAAAACTAAACCATCCTTGTGAAACTAATGAAAGGCCACCAACCAGGTTAGAAAGATGAAAGAGGCCTACTTTCTACTAAGACGTAGGCATAGTTAGTTAAATGATTACCAGCCATTATTCCAGAGGTCACAAAATGTGCAACTATTCCAATTACTCCTGCAGATAACATGACTATTGTAGAACCTAAGATTGGCCTTTTGAGATGTCTCCAGGTTTCTTACATGTCCGACACCCATGGCTCCACCTGTACCCACCAACCACTCCTGTGGTGCCATCCAGAAGTGACTCAGTACAAGAGGAGAGCTTCCAATCCCTATAATTTCATCTTCTGAAGAGATCGAGACCGGCCGGGCACAGTGGCTCACGCCTGTAATCCCAGCACTTTGGGAGGCCGAGGCGGGTGGATCACGAGGTCAAGAGATCGAGACCATCCTGGTCAACATGGTGAAACCCCGTCTCTACTAAAAATACAAAAAATCAGCTGGGCATGGTGGCGCATGCCTGTAATCCCAGCTACTCAGGAGGCTGAGGCAGGAGAATTGCCTGAACCCAGGAGGCGGAGGTTGCGGTGAGCCGAGATTGCACCATTGTACTCCAGCCTGGGCAACACGAGCGAAACTCCGTCTCAAAAAAAAAAAAAAAAATTTCATCTTCTATCCAAGCAATCAGCACCTATTGCCTAGCTACCCCCACCTCTTCCCCCAAACTACCTTTGAAAAACTCTTAACCTCTTCTCTTGTGCTCTCCTGTTAATGGCAGGCGGTGGCCCCTGAGGTTGTCACAAATAACCGCTTCCCGCACAGGGAAAGTCTCCCCTGCCTCCCACTTTCTGCTCACCACCAGTGCCAGAGCTTGCCAGCATGTCTGTGGTACCTCCCAATCACTCGCAGACCGGCTGGTCCCTGGGGGTCCCTCGGTTCGGCAACAAGTACATCCAGCAGACCAAACCCCTCACCCTGGCGTGTACCATCAACCTGTACCCTCTTACCAATTATACTTTTGGTACAAATAGCCTCTCTACGAGAAGGACAGTTCTGTTGCAGCCAGATTTCAGCACATGAGGGAAGAATTTGATTAAATTGGAATAAGGAGGACCGTAGAAGAGGCTCTAACTGTACATGAGCATCGGTTACCCCATGTGTTACTGCTACAGCTGGAAAAAACTTTCTTCAAACTACCTGGTGGTAAACTTAACCCAGGAGAAGATGAAGTTGAAGGACTGAAATGCTTAATGACGGAGATACTGTGTCGTCAGGATAGAGTTCTGCAAGACTGGGTCATTGATGACTGCATTGGTAACTGGTGGAGAACAACTTTTGAACCTCCTCAGTATCCATATATTCCTGCACATGTTACAAAACCTAAGGAACATAAGAAGTTGTTTCTGGTTCAGCTGCAAGAAAAAGCTATGTTTGCAGTCCCTAAAAATTACAAGCTGGTAGCTGCACCATTGTTTGAATTGCATGACAAAGCACCAGGATATGGATCCATTATTTCTAGTCTCCCTCAGCTGTTGAGCAGGTTAAATTTTATACACAACTGAATTCCTGCCCAGTGGAGAAGTAAAAGAAGCCTCTTGTCTCTGTGAGCATAGCTACATACAGTGTGGCATAACTGTGGTAGAAAAGTTTTTTTAGTTTTATCTCCTTTGCGATCCCAAAATTGCCACCTACTTTCTATCATTTGAATAGTGAAATTAATAGGAAGAACCAGATAGTGGTGTAAACAAATATGATAATGTTTATTTACTTTTGGTTCTACTCATACTTTTTTGTACAACATTAAAGAAAATGGACTTCTTTTTTCATTTTAATTTCTCATTCAACTTCTAAAATTCTTTAAAGAAAAAAGAAAAAGAAAAAGAAAACCCCCTAACCTTCGATACATTGAGGAGATGGCTTGGTCGGCCTGGTGTCAATTAAACTCTTTCCTACTGAAATGCCATGGTCGCCAGGGGCAGTGGCTCACGCCTGTAATCCCAGCACTTTGGGAGGCTGAGGTGGGCAGACCACAAGGTCAGCTGTTCAAGACCAGCCTGGCCCACGTAGTGAAGCCCCATCTCTACTAAAAATACAAATATTAGCCGAGCATGGTGGCAGGTGCTTGTAGTCCCAGCTACTCGGGAGGCTGAGGCAGGAGAATCACTTGAACCCAGGAGGCGGAGATTGCTGTGAGACAAGATCGTGCCATTGTACTCCAGCCTGGGCAACAAGAGCAAAACTCCATCTAGAAAGGAAGTGAAGGGAGGGGAGGGGAAGGGAAAGGGTCATGGTCTATTTTGTTTGTGCAGTGGGCAGGAAGAACCTATAGGGTGGTTACAGGGTTCAGGAACATTTAGGTTAGTAACAAGCATATTAGGTGATGCCCATTAAAATCTGAGCTCTGGCCAGGGGCAGTGGCTCACGCCTGTAATCCCAGCACTTTGGGAGGCTGAGGCAGGCGGATCACTTGAGGTCAGGAGTTCAAGACCAGCCTGGCCATCATGGTGAAACCCTGTCTCTACTAAGAAAAAACAGCAAAAAATTAGCTGGCATGGTGGCATGTGCCTGTAATCCCACCTACTCCAGAGGTTGAGGCACAAGATTCACTTAAACCTAGGAGGCGGAGGTTGCTGTGAGCCGAGATGGAATCACCGTACTCCAGCCTGGGCGACAGAGCAAGACTTCATCTCAAGAAAAAAAAAAGAAAAGAAAAAAAAATCAAACCATAAAAGCCCTAGAATAAGACATAGATGATTATGCATCTGAAATTTGGGTGGGAGCAGACATTATAAACTTAAAAGCAGCAGAAAAAAAACACTAAGTAGGCAGATTTTACAACATAACCTTAAGAACTTGACATTACAAAACTATAATTAACAAAGTGAAATAATAAAAAAACAAGCAGAAAAATATATACAAGTATAGCAAAGAGTCATTATCTTTCTTGATAAAAAGCTTACATAAACTTACAAGAAGAACATGATGTCCCCAGTGAAGACCTTGTTAAAGGCATGGAGAGAGAATTTCCAGGAAAAGTGATTGCTCAATAAGGTGTTGTGTTCTACCTCACTAGTAATGACAGAACACGCAAAGTATACACACTAGATAATACTATTTTACCTGTGAAGTTGATGAAGATTTAAAAAGAACTGGCCAGGCGCTGTAGCTCATACCTGTAATCCCAGCACTTTGGGAGGCTGAGGCAGGTGGGTTACTGGAGGTCAGGAGTTGGAGACCAGCCTGATCAACGTGGAGAAACCCCTCTACTAAAAATACAAAAAATTAGCTGGGTGTGGTGGCACATGCCTGTAATCCCAGCCACTCAGGATGCTGAGGCAGGAGAATCGTTGAACCTGGAAGGCAGAGGTTGCAGTGAGCCAAGATCATGCCATTGCACTCCAGCCTGGGCAACAAGAGCAAAACTCGGTCTCAAAAAATAAAGAAAGAAAGAAGGAACTGTGCCAGGCACAGTGGCTCACAAGTGTAATCCCAGCACTTTGGGAGGCTGAGGCGAGAGGATCACTTGAGCCCAGGAGTTTGAGACCAGCTCGGGCAACATCAAGAGACCACGACACTACAAAAAAATATTAAAAATTAGCCAGGTATTGTGGTGCATGCTCGTGGTCCCAGCTAGCAGGAGGCTGAGATGGGAGAATTGCTTCAGCCCAGGAAGTCAAGATGACAGTGAGCCATGACAGTGCTAGTGCACTCCAGCCTGGGTGACAGGCAGCGTGACTCTGTCACAAAAAAAAATATATATATATATATCTCAAAGTAGACCATGGGCAGTGGGGCAGAAACCCTCATACACTGCCAGTGAGATTGTAAATTGATGCTTCCTAGAAAGCAAATAGATCACTAGTCTTAAAAAATCTTGTAGCATTTGCCCCAGAAATTCTCCCTCTAGGAATCTAGTATAAGAAAATAGAGATATGGGCGGGGTGAGGTGGCTCATGCCTGTAATGCCAGCACTTTGGGAAGCTAAACTGGGCAGATCTGTTGAGGTGAGGGGTTCCAGAGCAGCCTGGCCAACATGGCAAAACCCCTTCTCTACTAAAAATAAAGAAAAAGTTAGCCAGGTGTGGTGGCACGCACCTATAATCTCAGCTACTTGGGAGGCTGAGGTGGGAGAATTGCTTGAACCCATGAGGTGGAGGTTGAAGTGAGCCAAGATCGCACCACTGCACTCCAGCCTGGGTGACAGAATGATTCTGTCTCAATAAAAAATAATAATAAAAAAAAGGGCCAGGAGCAGTGGCTCATGCCTGTAACTCCCAGCACTTTGGGAGGCGGAGGTAGGTGGATCACCTGGGTCAGGAGTTCAGACCAGCCTGACCAACATGGAGAAACCTTGTCTCTACTAAAAATACAAAATATACAAAATTAGCTGGGCGTGGTGGCTCATGCCTGTAATCCCAGCTACTCGGGAAGCTGATGCAGGAGAATCGCTTGAACCCAGGAGGTGGAGGCTGTCGTGAGCTAAGATCATGCCATCGCACTCCAGCCTGCATAATAATGATAATAATAAGATACTGGCTTACAAGTCAAATACCAGTGAGGAGAAATATAGTTTCTAGTGACAGGAATTATCTATTATTTAGGGTCATACCTATCAGATGTTAATATACCTGGGAAACCAAGCTAGTAATCAGAAGGTCGCTTGTAATTTGAACAAATGGGGCTGAATGGCTTTTTGTTTTGTTTTGTTTTGAGGTTTCACTCTTGTTGCCTAGGCTGGAGTGCAATAGCGCAATCTAGGCTCGCTGCAACCTCCACCTCACTGGTTCAAGCACTTTTCCTGCCTCAGCCTCCCAAGTAGCTGGGATTACAGGCATGTGCCACCACGCCTGGCTAATCTTTGTATATTTAGTAGAGATGAGGTTTTGCCATATTGGCCAGGTTGGTTTCGAACTCCTGACCTCAAGTAATCTGCCCGTCTCGGCCTCCCAAAGTGTTGAGATTACAGGCATGAGCCACCGTGCCCGCCCAGCTGAATGATTTTAAGGAAGGTCTTTGGGTTATTTATAACATGTGTACCAGACCAGTGCTTCTGTCACTTGAATAGTACTGCATAAACACTGACTCTCCAATGTTATTTTTTCCACCATCTCTAACTAGTTATCAGGATCTTCTGTCATTGCAATATTACCTGCCTCCTGTTCTCATTACATGTCACAGTTTCCAAGGTAACAGCTGTCTTACATGAATTACATTCTAGGTTGGTAGCTCCCAGGTGAGATATTGGGAAGCATCTTAATCTTATTTGCATATATCTACAAATTATATTTACCAGAAGTCTCTTCTGAGAACAGTCACAGATGGCTAGTTTTATCCACTGTGAGCCTTTTTTTTTTTAATTTTTTCAGTTGAAGGGTTTATTATTTCCCCAATTATGTGTCTGAATTTTCTCTAAACTGTATCTCTTAAATTTGGAGATACACATTACTGTGTCGGCCCTTCATTTCACTGATAAACATCAAGGGTTTTTTGAAGATAGTACTTAGGAGAATGGTACGGCCACGCACAAAAATAGGGAAATCGGCTGGACGCAGTTGGCTCATCCCTATAATCTCAGCACTTTGGGAGGCCAACGTGGGTGGATCACCTGAGGTCGGAAGTCCGAGAGCAGTCTTATGAACATGGAGAAACTTGTCTCTACTAAAAATACAAAAAAAATTAGCTGGGCCTGGTGGCACATGCCTGTAATCCCAGCTACTTGGGAGGCTGAAGCAGGAGAATTGCTGGAACCTGGGAGGCAGAGGTTGCCTCGAGCCAAGATCATGCCATTGCACTCCAGCCTGGGCAACAAGAGCGAAACCTGGTCTCAAAAAGAAGGGAATCAGAGAGGTAGTCTTTTGGGAGAGGGAGGAAATAGTGGAATTGAGTGAAGGTTCAGTGGGCATGTAGAGAAAAAGTTAACATAATAGGAAAGCTCTTATGTTGTATGTGGTGGGGAATTAGCCTGGAAACTGTCACCAAACTACCTACCTACCTTTATAGTGCTGGTTTCTAGGGTAACACAGATATTTACTACCTTACATTTACATGGGTGGTGCTGATGTTCATTTTCTCACTTTTTACAGTCCCAACCCTTTACTTTTTATAGTGTTGAAATTTGCATTTCAATGTTAATAGGATTCCAGTACTGGTGGCTCATTCCTCAAAGCTAAATGTAGAGAAATAGTATAGGAACTTCTATCCTGGGTCCTGCTCCACACTGGAATGTCATCAGTACATAATCCTGGGCTTCATGCCTGGGACTCAACACCAACGGCATAAATTCTACAACTACCCAGAGGCTATAATTTCCATCCCCTCCAAGTCATCCTCAGTAAACCCTTGATAAAGACACTAGCTTCTACGTTTCTTCCTTTTTTCCCCCCTTAGACTAGTCAAGTGAAGCAGTGGGAGTGGAGAAGTCTACTTTCTTTTTTTTTTTTTTTGAAATAGGGTTCTCCTTCTGGCACCCAGGCTGGAGTGCAGTGGCAAGATCTGGCTCACTGCATCTTCCGCCTACCAGGTTCAAGCAATGAGAATTGCCTCAGCCTCCCTAGTAGCTGGGATTACAGGCATGCACTACCACACCTGACTACTTTTTATTTATTTTTAGTAGAGACAGGGTTTCACCATGTTGCCCAGGCTGGTCTCGAACTCCTGACTTCAAGTGACCCACCTGCCTGGCCTCCCAAGATGCTGGGATTACAGGCGTTAGCCGCTGTGCCCAGCCCCAGCTAATTTATTTTTTTAATTTTTAGTAGAGACACTACATTCACCATGTTGTCCAGGCTGGTCTTGAACTCCTGGGCTCAAGCGGTCCTCCCAGCTTGGCCTCTCAAAGTGTTGGGATTACAGGCGTGA